ACTCGGGATGCCCGAAAAGTGGAAAGAAAAAAAATTGGTTTCAAAAAGGCTCGCAAAAAAACTCAGTTTTCCAAGCGTTAACTGATTGACCCCAGTGCCATGGAAAAAATACAAATCCAGTTTATCATTGAGGGAATTCAAAAATGAGATAATGGCGTTCAAGACGAAGAAAGCGGCAGACGCTACGGAAAAAAATATCTAATTACTACTAAACCTTTTAATTATAGAGGCAAAGAATACTCACAATTGGTAGTTTATACTAATGGTTTTCTTGATTTTGAAGGTGTAGATCAGTGAGACCAAAAAGAATTAAAAAAATACATTTGAGAATTGTGATGGTGAGAAAGAGATAAGGAAAATTATTATGAGCCGGCTAGGGTCAATGAGAAAGAAAAGAAAATAATTTTGAACAATTTAAAAACTGGAAAAATTGAAAAATTTTGCTTTGATGGGAATTCCTTAACGGTAAGCCCTGTCAAAAATGGGTCAAAGTGGGATGAAAAGAAGGGGAGATTAGAAGTGAAAATAAAGCCGGTAAAAATTAATGAAAAAGTAATAATTAACCAACTAGATTTTTTGTTCGGTAAACCTTTTGGAGACGATGTTCGTCAAGTAATTTTTGATAATTTTAACCTCGGAAAATTGGTAAATATTTATTTTCATGTCCGTAAGGGGCGAAATTCATTAGGTCCCAAATTTGAGTTAGGAGGCGACCGAACAAAACTCGTTATTTCTCCCCTAGACCTAAAAAACCAATTTCATGATTATAGTTGATTTTCCATCATTGACGATAATAGTCAACCATCAAGGGAAGAACCGCATTCTAATTCTAAAAAGTGGCTTGTTGCCCTTTTATTATTGCCAGTCATTGTTCTTTTCTTTTTCTGGCTCCACAAACAATTTAGCAAAAAAACCTCATAAATAATTATCATGGCAGGTCATTCTCATTCAGCCAACATTAAACATCGAAAAGATCGGCAAGACAGTGTCCGCAGCCAACTTTTTCTGAAAGTGCGGAAAAAAATTGAAAACATTATTCGGGAAGAGCACGAAGTCAACGAAAAATCTTTAAGTATTGCCCGGGAAAATAAATTCCCCAAAGAAAAAGTTTATCAGATTTGAGAAAAAATCAAGGG